CTAAACTTTGACTTTCCAGTATTTTTGTATCCACCTGAAGCCCAGGTTGAAGATCTTTGTGCTAGATTCTTTATGGGCACAAATTTTACTGATATTGGCAGAATTGTTGGGGATGAACTCGTTAAGGTTGAAATTGATCCAAGGCTTTTATAATATCCTCCAAAACCAGAAGCTATGAAAGTCCTCAAGTCAATAGCTAAAAGCCAAAGAGGCAAAGAATACTAGTCGTACATTATACTGGTCTTTGTACCACTCCAATTCATTTAGCCAAGAAAATGAATGGGTAAGGATATAGATTGTTCAGGACCTTAAGCCCAAATAAAAGTCAACCTCTGCTTTCCGGTGGTACCAAATCCCAAAACTACTTAATCTGCAATACCATCATTATAAACTTTGTTCTGCTTTCTTTAGTGTCCCTTTAGATTAAAAATAGTCAATACCTGTTTATTTGTTTGTTTTCTCCTAGGAAAGTTAAAATATTTACCTGGGCAGTTGAAGGTTTATGGAGTCACCCTCCCATTTTTCACAGGGGCTTAACAAGGAACTTCAGTATTGCAAATTTTTCTTAGTATGTTGACTAACTTTTGCTATGTTCTAAAGACAAGTTGAGCTTGAAGGCTGACTTTTATTTACTTAACGTTCTAGCTCAGAAGGGTTATGTCATTTCCTGCTCCCCAAAATTACAATTTTGTCAAAACACAGTGCATTATCTGGAACATAATTTGTTCTAAGGGGAGTGCATTCTTCACCATTGATAGGTTACAAGCCACTCAAAATTTTCCTAGACTGATTACTAAGAAATAATTAAAAGGTTTTCTGGTTTTCACTGGCACCTGCAAGCAATGGATTCCTAGCTTTTAAAAAATCATCTCATCTTTATATGACTTATTTAGTCCTTGGTAGTTGAAACTCTTTTCTGGGAATCTAAATATTAACAGGCATTTTCTGACATAAAATTACCTCTTCAAAAGCCTCAGACTGTGGACCTTTCTAATTATAAACTCTCTACCTATTTGTGTATGAATGCTCTGGGAAATCCCTTAGTGTTCTGATCCAAAGCCATGGGAATCATCACAGACGAATTACTTATTTCAGCCTTTCCCTAGACCCATAATCTTGTATAAGCAGCAGCAGCAACAGCCAAACAAGTGGAGGCTTCACTGACTGGGTTTTAGGATCTTCCTTAAACTTGATGTTTTTTTCATGCTGTGTAATCTGTGTTACTTACTGAAAATACATTCCATTTCTCAGCAAGCAGCCTGAAATTTTATTACTTTCTCCTTCATCAAGTCTGTCCATTATTGGAATATTTTAAATCCTACTAACCTCTTTCATTATCCAAAGAAAGGTAATCCCACAATTGTTTAGCTTCTGTTCAATAATTGACTATGTTTGAATAGGTTTATTATAAATTGCCCTAGAATATTCTGATTCAGTAATGTTTGTTGATGGGTCATGTCTTACCTCTGAAAATGGAAAATATTAGGCAGTGTATTCCATGACAAACATCATTTCACTCCTATAATATGATACTTAATCAGAAGTAAATTTAGCCCTGATGGTAGACTTTTTTGCACTTGCCAGAGCTTGACAATTGCTAAAGACAAGATTGATTTATACCCTCAGAGTAGGTAAGTCATGGGATAAGTCTACAATTTTGGAATGTTTTGGAAACAACATTTTAAAAATTGTAGTGTTCTATCTCTATATATTAGTCTATATCTGTATATATAATCACTGTGGCATTAAGTATATACACAATGTTGTGCAACAATTACCACTATCTATTCCTAGAATTTTGTCATCATCCCAAACAGGAATGTTGTACCCACTAACTGTTCCCCACTGTTCCCAGCTCTTGTAACCTATATTCTACTTTCTGTTGCTATGAATTTCCTTGTTCTAAGTAACTCATATAAGAGGGATTATATAACATTTGTTCTTTTGTGTTTGGCTTATCTCATTTAGCATAATGTTTTCAAGGTCACATGTATCAGACTTTCATTCTTTTTTCATGTCTGATTAGCATTTCATTATATGTCTATACAAGATTTTGTTTATCCATTCACCTGTTGATGGACACTTGGGTTGTTTCCACCTTTTTGCTACTGGGAATAATGCAGCCATGAACATTGGTGTACAAGTATCTGTTAGAGTCCCTGCTTTCAATTCTTTGGAGTATATACCTTGGAGTGGAATTTCTGGATCATATGGTAATTCTATGCTTAACTTTTTGAGGAACAGCCAAACAATTTTCCACAGTGACTGCACCATTTACATTCCCACCAGCAATGCATAGGGGTTCTAATTTCTCTACGGACCCCACCAACACTTGTTATTTTCCATACTTTTGACAACAGCTATCCTAATGGGTGCAAAGTATTAATAAATGTGTTTAGTCGTAGCAATTAACCATTGCTATGGAATTGTGCCCCTCCAAAATTCAAATATTGAAGTTCTAACACCTAATATGATGGTTTTTGGAGGTAGAGCCTTTGAGAGGAAATTAAGTTTAGATGAGATCAGGAGGGTGGAGACTTTTTGATGGGATTCATGCCATTATAAAAAGAGACACCAGAGATCTTGCTCTCTTCTCTACTGAGGAAGGCCATGTGAGCACACAGTAATATGGCTCCATCAACAAGCCAAGAAAAGAGCTCTCACCAGAACCTGCCTATGCTGTCAGCCTGATTTTGGATTTCCAGACTCCAGAACTATGAGAAAATAAATTTCTGTTGTTTAATCCACTCAGTCTGTGGTATTTTATCATGGTAGCATGAGCTGACTAAGACCTCAGTTAGCAATGTTTAACAGATTAAATAAATTTTAAATATTCTAGAACTTCCTAACAGTTAGCTATCCTAAAAGTTGAAGCTATACAAAAACATATAGCATGAAGTTAAAGGAAAATTCTACATAATCAGTGTGGCAGGCAGATAGCCCTCACTAAGATTCTGGGCCCCATGATAATCCTAGAAGCCAATTCTTTTGAAAGGTTGAAAGAAGCTATTGTAGAATGCCAGTGATTGGCCCAGAAACTGAAAAGAGTTATTGGAAAAACTCTGGTTGTAAATTTCAAGAGGATATTCTCCGACACTTTAGAGTAGATACTTGATGATACTAGAGGACCTCAACTGAAACCTTGACAGCAATTTTACATGAAATCATCTACTACAACAAGGACAAATTGATCACTATTGTCAGTCAATGTAAGTGAAGAAATTTTTACTAGGATTACTGAGGGTATCTGTGGTAGATGTCTGTAAATATATGATATGGCCAAGAACCCATACCAGTACAGACAAGAACCTCCTGTCAATGTCTTCACGGAGTCTATATAATCTACTTTCTTCTATGGGTTTTGAATATGTCCTGATCAGTATTTGCTCATTCTTAGAGTGAGCTGAAGTATTTACTTGCTAGAGAGCTGTGGTTCGGAGAGTGTCGAACACATTACTGTGTTCTCAACCTGGAATTCCAATCCTTCCAGTGATAATAACACTTATCTTACTAGGACTGTTAGAAGATTTTGTAAAGCTTTGTACTTACTCAGAAACTTCATTGTGCCTATCACTCTCAATCCTTAGGTAAATTAGGTAGAGCTAATCATATTTTAAAACTCAAACTTGCAAAATTATCTGACATTTTTTGTCTTCCTTGACCAAGGTTATTCTCTCTGGCCCTTAAGACCATGAAGTTAACGCCTCCCGGCGCTCGTTGCCTCTTACCACATGGACTTTAAAAAGGTCATACTATGAGACTGGCTATTTCTTTACTAATTTTGGACTGTACTTCAGATATACATCTCAAATTAATTAGACTCAGAAATGAACTAGATTCAGAAAGGGAAACTGTGGAATGCATTTAATACCTGTCACTCATGTTTACAGACTTTGCCAACAAGGTTTACTATGTAGGTAAATCTGAATTTTTAATAAAATATAACATTTCATCTATTTCATGACATCCTTACTGCATATTCTCCTATCTGGCACCTAATTATCTCTAAAGAGTGTCAAACCCATACAATACAATTTAGCATCAACTTGGGGTATGTTGGCCAAGAGCTTGTTATTTGGGAAGCCCCCTACCACAGGTATTGAATTTGTGGCGCAGAAGCCTTTTGAATATTATCAGTAACTTAGACAGGAACTTATCTTTGTAAATTAATGCTTATTTCAGACTACTCAGGTAGTCTTTGATATCACTCTGGCTACATTTTGGTTACTAGTTATCCTTCTCAGAAAAAAGGTAACTACACAACTTGTTTCAAAGAAGAAAATAACTATGTTTTTACTGAGATATGAAACCGTAACTACACAGGGAAATTATAGATGGTTTTCTTCTTCCCTCAGGCGTCTTTATATCACTTTTTACTACAGGCATGGATGAAGGGGAATATATTAACATGTTATGGTGCAGATATTGAAAGAAGAGTTAGATAATGTCAGTAAGTTCATAGAAATCGATAGAACACCTTCTCTGTTCAAAAATAAAGAGTCTATAGACATAAATGGACTGTAGAGGTATTATATATACCATTTTAGGAAAAAGAATATTGTTTTTACCCTCTATAGATATTTCTGATAATTTTAACATTACTAAGAGGGTCCAGGAAACCAATAAGAACTTTATAAAATTAGGTAATTTGACTAAAATGCCCATATTAGTCTATAGGCTTTTTGGTGGATGCAGTCTGTTTTCTTGATTTAGTTTAGTTTGGACACCTTTGTTTCTTGGCTAATGTGTAGATTACAGAATCTGATTGTAGTATTCTTGGTGTTTGACAGTGGTACTACAATGTTCAAATGCGTAATGTCAAGAATTTTAAATGCTTTTCATAACCACTGTTCCATCAAACGATAATCCAACAAAAAGAACAAGGAAACCTGGTGTATGCAGTGGTTGAAATGACCAACAACAGAATTCAGATATGTAATGATGACTCTATAAACATCTATGTAATGATCTCCCCCATGTGATAACCATCTGTTTTCCAGATCAGGCTGAAGAATCACTATGAGGGAGAACTGAGAAATAAGACCATTTGCATCAACAGGAATTTGGTAAGATTTTAGACTATGTCGACCTGACCTAGTTGTTTGTTACAGGAAAATTTTGTCTAGGAGAGATAAAACTATAAACCCATACATAAATTCACTGTTTGTTTCAGAACTTTCCTACAGATCAATTTATTGGACATAATCTGATGACCTGGGAATCTGGCGGCCTGGGAAAACTGCTCACTTATCAAACAGGGGCTTCTATTTTAAGATTTGATTAGAGACCTTCACTGTACTATGTCTACAAATCCTAAATGATTATACCAAAACTTTTATCCAATCCTAATCAGTTCTCTCTCTTGAAAGATCTACCTTAAATCACCTGGGCTCAGACCTCACCGTCTTATAACCATCTCAGTGCTGATAGCCTTCTTTTGAGATACTGCTAAAACTTTCTCAAGATGGTGTTCTCCTTTAGTGCAGAAATTCCAAATAAAGTTGGTTTTGCTATGTTAACAAGTTGTTGGGTGACATTTTTGGAAGTTTAGCAAAAATCTGTATAAACATCTTTGGAAAAAATAAGGTTACCATTTCTTATAATGTTTAGATTTAATATGTTGAAGAGATTACTTCAGAAGTTTAGAAAACTACTGATATTAGAGATTGAAAAAAATTATTATTGAATTTTTAAAATTTCTCTTTAAAATTTATTCAAAAAGCAAATATATTATGAAAGTTGAATAAACCAGAACTGTTGACGTAAGAGGGTTAAGTAGCATTGTTTGTAGTGGTAAGACATTATTTCTATACATTAAAAAACAAAAGTTTCAAGTTGTAATTTAGGTGAAAAAAGAATCAATTGCTGTGGCTTACTCAATGCCAAAAATTTCCAAATGAAAAATAAGAAAAAAATGTACAAGCTATTGTTGACAATATGAAGAGAGATCTTGGGAGCAAAATGAAAAGAATTTTAAAACATTGAGTATTAGAGGGCATTTAAAATAAAGATAACATTTGAGAAAAGGTTTGATTGAGATAAAGTTGGTTAAAATTTGTCCTCTATCTATCAAATTGAGTATTGATTTTGTGCATGTATATATTGTGCTGACTGAAATTAAAATGATGAAACTTAGAGATTTGGAAACTAGAACAGGGGAACAAAAGAGGGCTGTAGGGTGACCTAAATTTCAGTTAGATACTACTGACTGCAGGTAATAAAGGGACTATTTAGATTTCAAAGGAAAAATAAGAAATTTAGCTAGGTGAACTAATACTGTAACTGACTTTAAATCAAAGGAAACATTCTTATTTGAAATAGGAGTTATATAAACTTACTTTTTTATTTTGATTTTGTCTATGCTGTGCCATTCCAAATGTTCTGACTGCGTTAGAAAAGAAAATGATTCAGAGAAACTCTGATTGATTAAAGGAGCATTATGAGTAGTATTCTGGGTGTTTTAGAAACTAAAACACATTAGTAAAACTTATTTTTTGTAAAACAGTATAAATTTGGTCATTTACTGGCTTAGTAGTGATTTTCATTTTAGTGCAATTATGCTTATATTCTTCCTGAAAGATTATTGGGTATTATCACAACATACTACTTTTATAATCTCTGACTCTCAAAATATCTCTGAGGTAGAGATGAAAATTTGCTACACTTTTAATGAACTGATTATCATTGAAGTCAGTAGTTTGTACATATTATACACAATAGAAGTGTTTTGCAAATCTCTCTGTGTTTTCTTCACTGTTGATATATGTTATCGACAAGAGTATTATGCAACTAGAAAGCAAAATTCCTCTTTATAGATTCTGTATTTTAGGGACTGTGAACAGAATGACAAATCAGTGGTACCATATACTGACAATACTTCTTTTGTAGAAAGAATCTCTATTTGCCATGATTATGAAGAATCACACTTTTTATGTTTCAATACTTGAGAATAATTATAATAACCAGCGACTCAAGCTTTTTTAAAAAAATATTTGTTTGTACTGCCTTCTATCCTGTCATGTCATAGAATGGTTGCTTGTTCCTAGTAGGGCCACATACTGCTTCATTTATGATCAATGTGACAGAAACCCTTCCTTCCCACATCAGGATGGAAAGTCTTCCTTTTGAACCACTCACATGAGTTGACACAGTGTGCTAATTGGCTTAGGCCTGGATAATCTGGTCCAGTGACTGTGGGATGAAGAATGGAATTACCAATTGCCTGGGCCAATGTAGGACTCATTCCTAGAACTGGGATCATTCCTAGAACTGGGATCATGGAGCTAATGGTGCCAGGAATGGATGTTGGGAGAACAATCACAACATAATGCTGCCTGTCTCCAAACTGATGTCTATGATGTTTCTCTAGAATTAAATGTTGACCTTTCTCTTCTTTCTGTTTATTGAAATACTTCTCATCTTGTAAGGATAAGGTAAAGATTTATTTTCTTGCTACAAGACACCTTCTTTGACTCTTAATCCTCATTCTCTATTTTCTCTGTTGGACTTATATTTTGTGCCATATAACATACAGCTATATTATATGCTGCTATTTAAAATTGACTCAGCTAATTTTTAATAGGTTGAAAGCACAAATAAATAAGAATATTCTTATTTTTACCCTGCACTTGTTTCATGTGAGTACTTTTTGTTTTTCAAGCCACATTGTACACTCTTTGTGACAGATGTTTTTCCCTTGTTTTCTTCTGTGCCTCACAGATTTAGGTTCAGAGTAGAAATGACAGATTATTATTGTCTAATTCTTAATGGTCCAAAAAACAGAACTGCTAATTATTGCTATGTTGTTGGTCATTAAAATTTTAAAGCTTAATTTTAGGGATTATATTTGGTTTTATCTTAAAATGATATCAATTTTAGTTAAAAAACCCATTAAAATTTTAATTTAATCACATAGTAGTCTTAGCTTCTTATGTTTTAACTAAATATATATTACAGAGGAATGAAGACTATATATGAAATTATTTTAAATTGCAAAAAGATTCTCAGTTGTGCAAGAATTGTTACTCAGAGTCTCTTGAGTGCTTAATAAATATTTGGTCTTATTACTGTCTAGTTCATGTTTGCTTATCCATTGGAAAATTAAAATAAATCTCCTAATTTTCATAATGATTTTATAATATATCAATCTTCTTTGTAACTCCTCTGAGAAAAGATGGTCGATGAGGCACTCTGTAAAAGAAGGTTAAAAGTTTTGTTATTTTAAATCTGCATATTAAGCTCATAATTTGAAATGTTTATGGTTTTCTCAGGTTCCTTCTAATGACTGTATTGTTTTATTCACTCTGCTTAATGTAACTTCTAAATAAATTATGAGTTATCATAAGCTTTCTCTAAAATACAATTTTTGAATCATAGGAAAATGATTGATGTGCTATAAGTTATCATTCTTAAGAGCAGGGATCTCGGAGCCGCGCAGCCTGTGTCTGAATCCTAACTGAATGACATTAATTATTAATTGGATAGCTTTGGGCAAGTTACTTAACTTCTCTGGTGCCTCAGCTTTCTCATTTGTAGAACAGTGATAATAATACCTACATTATAGGATTCTCATGAAGGTAAAAGTTTGGTTTAACTTTATTTCTGCATATGAGTTGTATGCAAAATGTCATCATAGAATTACAGAATTAGACATGGCAAAACCTATTTGCTCTTTATTGAAAGATGACTATTCTTAAGTAAGTACTACTTAACTTAGCATAAGTAAAATGCCTAAGTTATAAGTATACAAGAGAATCTTTTTAGAATTCGAAGGAGAAAGTATAGCTGTCATTCACTAGGTCTAGAAGCAGGATTTGGAAAGCAGCAGAAATCAAGGCAGCTTCTCTCTCTCTCTCTTTCCCTCTTTCTTGTGGGCTGTAAGGACTCTCTGCTAAGCATCTTTCTGTGTAAGTCTGCTTTATGATTCTCTGTTTTTCCAGATACTCTTCCTCTGCTCCATTTACTCATGAGCCTGACTTAGCTACCTCACCTTGGCACTGTATCTCCTACCAAGTGAAGTGAACTGCCCAGCAGAGAAAAACTAGAGTTCTTGTATCCTTATAACTGATTTTGGGAGAAATTATAATTTGTCCAGCTCAGATCAGTTACCCACAATCATCTAGTAAACTATACCAAGGGGAGGGATAAGACAGCCCCCTGTCCATTCAGAAGGGGGTTTGGGTCCCACTATTCCTAGAACATGCATTGACTCACAGGGAAATTGACTAGCAAGTACTGGTTAGATCTGTTTTGAAGATGGACTTAAACATTTAACAGAAGCAATGTAAAAACAAAGTAGAGAATACCTTTTAATTAATTTCCTAATCAATTTAGTTTTAAAGTGAGTGACATACATTTTCACTGATTGTCTTTCCATGTGTCCCCTTAGCCTTATGTCTGGCATATGACATGGAGGATGGTGGCTGTCCTGTCTGCTCCTTACATCACAGGGACAGGGGATAAGTGAAAATGGAGGCCCAGATGTGTAAATATTTAAAGTTACAAATCAAACCAACAGATTGTTGAATAAAATATGTTTTATCCTATTTCTTTTACATATTAGCCTTCATAACTATTTGAAAGGCCAGATTTAAAGTTAGGGATCTCAGACTTCATGAAGTTCTATGCTCAAATGAGGTGGCTTACCCATTTTTCCTTCTGCTGCTGGCTCTGTGAGGGATTTATGTCCACACGTGGTCCACCTGTTCAAACTCTTTCCACATCTCCTACAACCAGCCACCTCTCAGACCTATGAAATGCACACCTGCAGTACAATCTACCCTCAGGAGAATGGAACCAAGACAGAGGCTTTTGCAGGCCCTGAAAACTGGCTCTAAAAAGTGCAGAGCCTAGGTCAGTGTCCCTTCTTACTTGAGCCTAAAGACAGTTCAGGTGATGAAAGAAAGTATGTATATCCATTAGATTATGATTTCAGGTGTCAATGAGATTTATCATTGAATGAAAATAAGGAGGGTATTTAATTTTCATAAAGTGGGAGGTTTACATCATTAACTAAGAAAGGCCAGAGAACACTGATTGTTAAATATGGAGGTTTTACTTTTGCATTTAATAAATGGAAAATATAGAAAAAATATTAATCATCTCTTTTTTAAAGAAGTCCAAAGCACATGAAATGCAGCAATTATACTTCTCGATATCGATGTTTAAGAAAAGGTTAATAAATTAGACAATGTAAAAAGTGGATTAGTATTTCATGGAAAACAGAAAAAAACAGGGTTAAAACCTTAGTTTTAGACAAAACAGACTTTAAACCAACAAAAATTTTAAAAAGGCAAAGAAGGGCATTACATAATGGTAAAGGGTTCAATTCAGCAAGAAGAGGTAACTTTCTTCAATATATGTGTGTCCAATACAGAAATACCCAGATTCATAAAGCAAGTCCTTTGAGATCTTTGAAGAGACTTAGACTCTCACACAATAACAGTGAGAAACTTTAACTCCCCACTGACAGTGTTAGGCAGATCATCGAGACAGAAAACTAAAAAAGCTATGCAGGATCCAAACCCAGCTTTGCATCAAGTGGACCTGCTAGATATCTACAGAACTCTCTACACAAAAACAACAGAATATACATTCCTCTCATCACCACATGGCACTTCCTCTA